TATTCTATACATAGTGTTTTCAATCCAGATTATATTTATGTGGTAGTTGTCGGCTTTTGATTCATAACTCCCTCTTCCTCCCCTGTACCATTCAGTCGGGAGTCACACTCTCCTGTTGTTTGCACCCCCAGGAGTAGCTGACAGCAGCGGCACCCGTACTGTTTACATTAGGTTATATCTTTTCAGCTCCGATCGGTTTTCTGCCCCTCTGATTGGACAGAGGGACAGTGACACATAGAAGGTGGAGCCCACTGTAGACCGGTCTTGATTGGTCAATTCCTCTGCCCTTGCCCATTTGAGCTCCCATTTCACTGTCCACATTCGTACAGCTTGTGACGAGCCGTCGGGGCTCCATCTGATTGGACAACATCACCTCTATATATACTTTATGGGATGGAAGGAGGAGTTATGTTCTGATGAAGGGGGCGTGCCCCAAAAACGCGTCAACGCAGATATCTTCACACTGGCACATAGGAACTGCATCGCTGACTTCCACTTGCCTTATTCCGGCTTACAGTCCTATGGTTTTTATCCATTTTACTCTTGCGAGTACCTTTCTCTTTTGTCTACCTGTATTTGAATAAAACCCATCTGCACCAGGAAAGCCGCCCCTTTTTGTGCTTTTTTCTAGAATCCGTAATAAACTGTTTACTGTTGGTTCACTTTAGAAGACAAGAGGCCACCATTTGAAACTGGAAGAAAAAAGGTTTAATCTAAAATTGCGAAGGGGATTCTTTACTGTGAGAACTGTAAAATTGTGGAACTCCCTTCTACAGGCAGTCATTTCAGCTGAGATTATTGACTCATTCAAGAAGCTTTTAGATACTTTTTTCAGTGAGCAAAATATACAGGGGTATAGGTTGAACTCGATGGACCTGTGTCTTTATTCAACCTCAACAAATATGTACTGGCAATGAGTATCATAACATGCCAGCTTTCTAGATAACTGTTACTCCTTTAGAGCACCCTGGGAGCCCTGAATCCTAATGATTTTGATCATGTTGTTAGGATGTTGGCACATTGGTTATGCAGTCAGGCATCTGTAGGTAAACTAACTTGTTTTGGGGGAATACCCCCTTCATTAGAGTCTTCATATGGACTTCTCCGTCATAATGGTCAGAATTGGAGGTGGGACACCAGTGTGTCTATATGTACATTTTATCTAATTTGTGCGTATTTTTAATCCTTTAAAAAAATAACAAACTTGACATACTACATGAAGATAAGGTGCTGTCGTTTGTGTTTGCTTTCCATGTTTTCGAAGATTCCCTTCCCTTGGTTGGCTGCCTTCCTCATATGAAGAAATTGAGTTGCAAGAAAGGGTTAATTCACCTCCTAGCACTGACTTGCTTTTTGCTGTTTGGTATGTGTAAGTAAATATCCACCTGGCTGTTTAGGATGCTTTAACCTAGTACTTTTGGAGTCGCTGACTTGAAACAAGTAGTTGTAACTAGTAGAATTAATTCAGAACTCCTTAATTTCACTAAACGTGGGTGTCAGTGACTATCTACTAGACTGCTTGATTTGTAGATGCATCAATCAAGCAAGCCTCTAATAGTCCTCACACCCTAGGCAGGAACCCCTGTAGCCTGTGCACTAATCTGGGCATTTGTCTACCTACAACATTCACAAATTTGTTAAGAACATAGAGTCACTAATTTTCCCGAGAACCTAGAAGTCAGCTGGGTCATAATAAGTTTGGGAAGTAAAATGAGTGCATTGCAAATATTAACTGGTAAGCCCATGAGAAAATAAGGTATTTGGATTACTCCAGGTTCACTGAAACGACAGACACATACTAATAACCCACATGTTTCATATTATTTATTTTTGGTAACATACAATGTAAGGGAACAAGACTACAGTACATTCCTGATATCTGATTGTAGATGTGTGATTAGGATCTTGACCTCATCTCTTTGACGCAACAACAGAACTTTCCTTTCTTTTTCACTAGCATAAAGTGTGTGGTAGGAAGAAGATGACTTTTGCTAGATGACTTTCTTGCTATCATTTTTAAAGGTGTCTTTACAAATTACTGTGACTTCTAACACAAATGTGTAACCCCCCACTTTTTTGCATGAAAAACTTTCCAAACATCCTGAATAACAGTTAAGTCAGCTAAATGACTTATCAAACAAGGGGGTTTTCTTGGCAATAGGAAAACAGTCAAAATGTTATTAATTGTATTACAATTGCTTCATGCCTTGATTTCTACTAGTCAGATTCCTTTTTAGTCTTCAAGGCTTCCAATGAAAGTTCATAGGTCAGAAACATAGCAGCACTCATGGGGAATCCACGTATGGTGTTGACTGTGAGTCCCCTAAAAAAGACCTAAAAAATATATAAGTGTTATATTTGTAATTCATCAAATAACTTTTACAGCCAGTTAAACCATGTAACATTTCACATAGACACAACAGCTTCCCTATTGTAGGGTCATCAAAAATGATTCAACCCTCAAAACCCAATAAACATTTGTTCTGCTGAATGTGTCTGGGATGCTCCATAGACATTTCACTTCTTGTCTGATTGTACATTCTTTAGCAGCATCTGATGGGCTAGGATGAGGGGAACTAATCTGTTCGCAGTTTGTAGAAGTAGCGAACTAATGCAGAAGTTGGCCACCATAGCAACCGACTACCAATAATGCATTTCCTGGCCTTTAGAGTTAATGGGAACCATGTGCCAGCCCCCTCACTATAAAAGGCTGGGTTCCCAGCACCCATACCGACAATTTGCTTAGCTGTTATAGAGAAAGGGAGTGCTGTTGATAAAGTGCATATTAATAGATTAATGTAGGGCTTGTAGACACTAGCAAATGCTGTGTTTTGGGGGAAAAAAAATTGTTTGGGAGAGGGAAGGATTTTTACATCTTAATGTGATGTACTGATGTGTGTACTGCAGCTTCTTTACAGTCTCTCTGTATGCACTGTGTACAGTCCTAACGGTCTGCATGTGTTTTTTTTTTCACAGGGAATCATTCCTGTGATTTTTCAGCCTGTGCCTTTCCATATGCACTGCAGTCAAAGCAAAGTGCATGGTTTTTTTTCACAGAGCATGTTTCCTAAATCTTACACTGCTGTATCCTCCACAGTCTCTTACTTTGAGTAGTAGATCTACCTGTGCTGTTTGACTCTTATACATTTTGCCTAAAATTGCTATTAAAAATTGTTCTGTTGCTGGCCAATTTTACACTTTTGTATCCTCTACGGTCTCTTACTTCTTGTGGTAAAACCAGGCCCGTCTTTAACACAGGGCAAAAGGGGCAGTTGCCCTGGGCCCAGTTAATGTTGTGGGGCCTAAAGCAGCCGCCCCTTGAGCCTGCACTGCTTGCGCCCTACCTGGAGATGCGGTATGTCAGTGTCCCGTCCCTTCTCCCCCCTCACCCTCCTGGTTTCCCTTATCTTTCCAGAGATAAGACAGACAGCAGAGATTGGCAGATCGGGACCTTTGTCTGCTTTGCCTAGCAACTGATGACGCTGATGGTCGGGCTGTCATAATTACGTACCTCAGCCCGCCCATCACATCATCAGTTGCTAGGCAGAGCAGACAAAAGTCCTGATCTCCCGATCTGCTGCCTGTCTGCAAGTAAGCCAGGGGGGAGAGATTAGGGAAACCAGGAGGATGAGGGGCGAGAGAACTGGGATCACAGGCTCAATAACAGACTCTGAACCACTTGTAGACAGGCAGCAGAGATCAGAAGATCGGGACATTTTAAAAAAAAATCAAAGCACAGGGATCAGAGCCTATCATGCATGCCTAGACCAGCCGGCCCGCCCATCTGCATCATCAGTTGCTAGGAAGACAGGGGGCTGATAGAAAAAATATATAAAATAAATAAATTGATTTGGGATGTTGGGGTGGAGAGAGAAACTGCATGGCAGGTAGAGGGCGTGGCTTTGTGGGTAGGGGCGGGGGCCCAAGAAAATGTTTGCCCAGGGTCCAATCAATATTAAAGACGGCCCTGATCAGCAGGTAGCTGAAAAAACAGGCTCTCTTCTAGTTGATTGATAGTATTTTTTAAGGCATCAACTGTGAAATGAGTCTGCCGTTAGCAACTGTTTCTGGGCCTTATGTGGTAACAGCTTAGCTTTGTGACCCTTTACTGTGGAGTCCAAACGTATGCTGCAAGTTACCAACCCCTGTTGTCGGCATCTGAGGTTAAAGCGCAGGTGGTTTCTATAGTCTGCCAATTTTCTTGCTGTCTTTTCATATTCTCATACAAGTTTAAGGGTTTTCTTCCCAAAATGTGTCGCAATATGTCTGTGAAGGTTCTCATTCATCCAGGTCATGGTATATTTGTAAAAAATAAGTCAAGACAACTGTACTTGCTGTATTTACCTTCAAGACGTTTCACTGGTCATCCAACCAGCTTTCTCTGGTCAGGATTCGGCAGTATACCTACATCTAAAGGAAAAAGGTCACTCCTTTGAAGACAGTCAAGAACGCATCCTAGACAGGGAGGAGGACTGGTTTAAAAGAGTTTTTTGTACAAGTCATTCTTAATTGAGAAAGCTGGTTGGATGACCAGTGAAACGTCTTTGAGAAAAATACAGCAAGTGCAGTTGTCTTGACTTATTTTTTACAGTTATACCATGACCTGGATGAATAAGAACCTTCACAGACATATTGCCAGGGATGCCTAAAATGTCACTTTTATCTTAGTACAGACATCTGGCAAAATCAGTCAACCAATCACAAAAAAAGGAAATTATATTACTGGGGGCATTCTGCACACCACTTGTGTTCAGAATGACTCACAATTGCCATACTGCATTGACTTTTCTTAACAGTTTTAGAAAAAATCAGTGCAGTTTTAAATAGAAAGGTAATTTTAATATAATTGAATTCCAAAATGGCTTGTGTAGCTATTAATGCTAATTGGAATAAGTTTTTTTTTTTAAGTGGCCTGTTGAAAGAAACATAAGCACAGCAATGTCAACTGTGTTACACCTTTTAACAAAGGAAGTTTTAAGCCTAATCCACACCTTGTGCCATGCAAAACTAAATGCAGGGGAAGGGCAGACAGCAGCAGAAAATGGAGGGCAGGCAGCAGCAAAGAGATAAGCATAGAATCCTAAGGCTATATCCTGCCTGCTTTTCCTCAAATCAGGACTTTTAACAATGAAACAATTGAAGTGACAGTCATTCATTTTATTAGACACATCTTTACAAATTTGGTTTATACCTATTACATTTTTTTTTACTCATATTCCAAACTGAGTAATACCTTTTAGAAAAAGGAATTCCTATGCCTAAACTTCAAAAAAAAAGGGTTCCTTGCAAGATAAGGCCACCAGCTTAGGAACTGGCCCTGCAGAGATGTTGGCTACAAAGAATCCCATGCTGTGGGTAAGAGTACAAAGAGGGAACCTCCCTGGCGGTATTCCCAAGGTTAATTTTCAGTACCAATAGCGGTAACCCGAGCCACACTCGGTATTGCACAAAAGTGTCACTTACCTTGTCCCTACGAGCCCGCGGTGTCCTCTGCTGTACGGCGCCGGCCGATGCCGGCATCTGACTTTTACTTTAGTTTTTGGCGTCACAGCGGGGGGCAGAGCAGGTGGGAAATTCAAAAGTGAAAAGATGCAATATACACAGAATACATACAAAACAATGTAATTTGCTATGATTACATTTATGTATTAAACCATTTCACTTCAATTTTGTCCCTAGTGCTTTGTCCAGTGCCCTGCCTGCACTTTTATTGTTCTTTCTGCCTGGAAACTTGAACGTCCATGGCTTCCAAAAAGCGTCCCTTTAGGTCAAAAGCGGTTTTAGACCAGGTAGAAAACAGCGATAGTAAATTGGGAATTTTTGGATAGTAAATCGTTGGGAAATTCGTCATCAGACACTGAAAGTGACGACAGCTACGATTCTGCGACCGAGCTCAGTGATGTATGAACTTGGTATTCTCATGACTGTGGTACGGATCAGGCACCGCCCCCAGAATTCCCATTTACTGGACCATTTTTTAAAATTATTATATTATAATTTTTTTATAATT